GGCCACTATACTCATGGCGGAGTGTGTGGTATCACAAAAGAGACCCATCGAAGACCATGGCTATGTCGTTATTTGGCATCATTCGTGAGGCACCACAAACCTGATGCCAAATTTTCTGCTCTTCAAATCTCGTGCAATGCTCCGGTGTCATTGCATAGGGATAGTCACAATGAAAAACATTGCTGCAATTATGTGTGTGGCTTTGGTGACTATAAAGATGGTCAGCTGTGGGTTGAGGATGAAAAGGTTTTAGAGGAAGGAGCTGAAGTGGTGGAGCAATCTTATGGGAAGAAAGTCCTACCTGGAAAATTGGTGGATATCCACTGGAACTTCATGTCGTTCTTTCCGAGAAAGCTGCATGGCCCTATGCCTTGGAAAGGAAACAGGGTATCCTTGACAGGGTACACACCTGTTTTTATGGAGCGTTTGAGCTACAAGGATAGGTGCTATCTTCTCCAACGCAAGTTTCCTCTTCCGGAACCACAGGCTGAAGAAGGTGAAAAAAGGAAGTGGTTAAAAATGACGTTGAAAGAGACCTCGCTGGACGACCTTGCAGAAGAAGTCGACTACGCTGTGTTCGAAGCGCATCAATGGGCTCTAGAAGAGCATTTGAGTATTCGACGCCTAATTGCTGAACAGGAATGTTGCATCTTGGACGAGTTCCATGGATCGGCCAATGAGTCGAGTGAAGAAAAAGGATCAGAGACTAGAGAATGGCTGGTTAAAGCAAAAAGGGCTGAGGAACAGCTATCGAAGTTTTTGGTCAAAGCAGCTCAAGTTCAGCAAATGGTACAAGAAAATACCGCGCTTGAGGCAGCAGAGGAGGTTGAGTTCCTGCAAACAAAAACAATCCCTACACAAGAAGCCATGCAAGAGCTGGAAAAGTGGAGGGAATCATTGTCGGACGAGGTGACGTCTTTGGTGAAAGAGTTGGAGGTGGTGGAACCAACAACTCAAGAAAAGCTGGACAAATTGGCGGAAGAGCCTAATGCACCGGTGATTGAGTACGTTCCCAGTCTGGTGGTGTTTACCCGGAAGCAAGGGACAGGGAGGCGACGTGCCCGTATCTGTGCATGTGGAAACTTCATTTCGTCAACGGCAGCTACAGAATATGAAGGGCCGAGGTCACTCAGTCGTCACTCGCTGTACGCTCCAGGTTTAGATTCAACTACATTCAGGTGTCAAGTGAGGCACGCAGCATATATGGTGTGGATCATCGCTGGCTTGGACATTTCCAAAGCTTTTCTGACGGCGCCGATGAATAGGGCACAAAGAGAAGGGCGTTTGGCGGTGGTGCAGCCCCCAAGGGCGGCGGTGAAGTTGGGTCTTTGCACAAAAGAGGAGCGGTGGATTGTGAGAAAGGCCTTGTACGGTTTGGCCGAAAGTCCTGCAGCATGGGTGGAGTGGCGAGACCAACGTCTTCAAGGTATGTCTTGGGTGTCAAAGGATGGACAAGCAATGAGCTTTCCGAGGTCCAGTGCCGACCCAAGCCCGCTCCCCACTACGGCACAAGAAAAGCCGGAAGGTGCAAGCAAGTTGGTAGGGACAATGGGTCTTTACGTGGATGATTTTTTGATGGCTGGGACTATGACAGTGCTCCGGGAGGCCTTGGAACAGATCAGGAAGGAGTGGAAAACTTCTGAACCCGAGTTCTGTGGTCCAGGCTGTGGTGATGGATTCCTGAAGTTTTTGGGTGTCCAAATCTGGTATCGAAATGGCGGCTTCTTTCTCAACCAGGAGGACTTTGTGAGAGATTTGCTGAACCGAAGAGGGTATCAGATTGATGAAACTGGAAAAGGTAGTAACCTGCCAATGGTGAAAGAAACTCCAGGTGAAGAAGAGGAGGTGGATATTCCTTCCTTGCGAGCGGCACAAGGTGCCGTAGGGGAGTTCCTCTGGGTGGCAATCAAAACTCGACCTGATTTGGCGTTCTGCACGAGCCAGTTGTCTTTGTGGACATCCCGACGGCCGCGATTTGTGGTTAAAAAGGCTGAGGAGGTTTTCCGATACCTTGCTGCAACTCCAACGTTAGGCTTGACGTTCGGAGCAATCGCAACATGCGAAAAAGAAAGAAATGAGGTGTTGCGTTATGGACGAGGTGTTAAGGTGGTGGAGTCCTACGCGGATGCCAGCTTTGCAGCAGGTGAAAATGAAAAGAGCCACTCAGGAGCGGTGGTGGTGTGGGGTGACTGTCCAGTGATGTGGGCAACACAAAGACAATCAACGGTGGCTTTAAGTACAGCTGAAGCTGAATTACATGCGTCCATAGAGGGAGCAACGATGATTCAGTCGTGCACCCCTATAATTGCCGCTTTGGTTGGAACAGGTGAAGAATCGCTGCAAAAAGTGCTGTATACAGATTCGGTTTCAACGTGCTCGATCATTCAACATCCTGCTGGAAGCTGGAGGACAAGACACCTGAGAATTCGAGCAGCCGGTGTCAGGTCTCTGGTGGACCGTGGTTATATGGTGATAGCGCACCTTCGCGGTGAGTATATGATCGCTGACCTGTTGACTAAGTTGATGAGTGGACAGGTGTACGCAAAGCAAAAGGCACTTTGGGGTCTCCGACTGTTGGTACAAGGGACTGACTTGAAAAAAGCCTCGCTTGCAATGGCGGTCATGATGGTGGCTGCATCTCTGCAAGGGATGGCAACTGGTAGCGAAGAAGTGTCAACTGCTGGATTCTTTTGCTCAGAAGAGGGGGTGTGCAAGGTCGCCAACACGTCTACGGTGATGGTTCTGGCTCAAGGTATTGAAATGGTTGTCAACAATTCAGACCTTGTTGCATATTTGGTGGCAGCAATTATACTCTGGGAACTGGCATCGTGCCTCTTTCGACGGCTGTATAAATGGCTGTGGGTCAAGAAAGCGGTGGTTATTCCTGCGAGTGCCACTTTGTATACAACAGTGGGTGGGAACTGTATGCACGCAAGCAGTGACTGTGATGTTCTGCGATATTCACAGCTCAGAGCTAAGACGCTTTGTAAGCATTGCCTCAAGGATGGCTGGGTGGTGAATGCTGAGTTCCTTGATGAGGAACGAGCCGCTGGAACGTGAATTTTCCAAGTGCGAGGTGAAGAAATCCTCAATGGTAAAGGATTCAGCCAATGAGCTGAAGGTTCGTCCTGGAAGACGTTAAACCACAATGTGCATTTCAAGCAGCTGGCTGCTGCCTAAATGGCGGTTTTTGGCCAAAGATCTGCACCTCCAATGTGTCCTAGGAAATCCTAGGACAGGGGGAGTGCGGAGCTGCAATTGGTATTGTAGAAAGAAGTTGGTATTGGAAGTTGAAGGGTCAATGAACCCGGTAATCTTTGGCTCAAGCCATGACCAAAGCGGTCAAAGGTTTCGTAAAAAGTGTGCCCTTGGTTTGGGGTCTTGTTGTTCGGTTGTTAGTTGTTCCAGGGGTGTTAAGGGCTTCTGTTGGGGTTGACTGTTTTGTTCCCTGTCCTCCTTCGGTTGCCCCCCGTATAGGGTTTAGGGTTTAGGGTTTAGGGTTTAGGGTTTAGGGTTTAGGGTTAGGGTTTAGGGCATAGGGTTTAGGGCTTGGGGTGCCAAAGTTCACAAAGCGCACGAAATAAATGCATGCGAACATGACTCGGATTGTTTTGAAGCAATGTGAGTTCTCAAAATGCTGGTCCCTTTTGGGGTGCCCGAAACACGAGCGGCCACCTTGTAATCAGGACCCCAAAACGGACCACGTTTTCGAGAAGTGACCAATATGCGGCAAGCCAACACCAAATCCCAGGCAGAGACTCAGAGAGCGATCACATTCTCAAAGCCAGCGCTCAAACACCTGTATTGCAGCGCTTTTAACCCTGACTCCTACTACTTGCTTTGTCACACCTGAAGGGAAGTTGAGTGTTGGATGCCTTGGGTTTCTCTTTGTGCCGGGTCTTCTGGAAACCTAGACCTTCTGAGGCATGGAGGTGGATTTCGGTGTCGGAGGGGCCTTTGCACAAGGGCTAGGATTCCATGTCCATCGAGTTTAGCTTACAAAGAAAAGCTCCATTTCTTTTTGTTACGGACCTTTCGGCGTCCTTCGATCCTTTTGTGTGAACAAGACAAGCGCCATTTTGTTACGGACAGTTCACTGCTACTGCTGCTGCTACGACTACGTCTGCGACTGGCAGCCTGTATCGAGAAAAAAGGCGCCATTTTGTTACGGACAATTCCGTGTCCATCAAGCCTATGTCCCAAAAGAAAACGCCATTCTGTTACAGACGCTTCCGTGTCCATCGAGTTTACGTCAACAAAAACGACATTCTGTTATGGACAATTCCGTGTCCATCAAGCCTGTCCAAAAAAGCGCCATTTTGTTACGGACAATTCCGTGTCTATCAAGCCTATGTCCAACAAAGGCGCCATATTACTACGGCCAATCGTGTCCATCAAGCCTATGTCCAGAAAAAAAACGCCATTTTGTTACGGACCATTCTGTGTCCATCGAGCCTGTGTCAAGAGAAATCGACATATGGAAACTCCTTGACATAGGCTCGATGGAGACGGAAACGTCCGTAACAGAAAGGCGTTTTTCTTCGGACATAGGCTTGATTTACACATATTTACACGAAATATTCCGTAACAAGCCGTCGTCGTCGTCGTCGCTTCAACCAGTTCAACCATTTCATCCATTTCAGTTGGTTTCCCCCCCCCCCCGGAGCCCCAGAGTTTCCTTTTCAACCATTTCAACGATTGCAAAGATGGCTGAAATGGTTGAAATGGAAACTCTGGGTGGGCGGGGCAAGGCCACGGCCCCTCGACAACTTGTGGAAACCTTCCACACCTTCCGCCCAATGCTGAGGACGCAGGAGCCCAAGCACAGCCCGCACCGAAGGCCAAAGATTTCAACGAGTTCATGAAAAGCGAAGCTAGTGAAAACATCTTGGTGAGTGGAAGTTCTCGGTGTAAGGAGACTCCAGAACATCCTAAGCCCACACCTGAACGGTACCAGAGGAGTAGTGGCAATGTACCGGGCACTGGTTCTTCGAAAGCGCCTCCTCTCGCCTCCGCTCCTCTTCTTGCCGCCGTCGCTCCTCCTCCTGTCAAGGGGGAAGCATGGTGGCTAGAGCTTGTCATGAGGAGACGGGGCTCAGGGTTCAGGCGCTTCAAGAATCTTAAAGGTTTCGGAGAAGCTTCAGCCACTGGAACAAAAGTTTTCGCAAACTCGGGGACCCATGATCCTCAGAGCTGGTCGTGGCAAGCACTGATCCCATCAATCCCACACAACGCTGCTCCTCACGCTTTCGGCGCTCTTCCTCCTCCCTTCGTCGGTTCATCTCCTCGCAACGTCTCGGGCGTTTTTGGGGGGGCCTTGGCTCTGAGAACCCTTGGGAGTTGGGAGGGGTCAACTCTACATCTCTGATTTCGCGCCTGCCTGCCATGCCTTTAGCACACAGCCCCCTCTTGCAATACAAACTAAGAAGGCTTCCACACAAAGGGCAAACCCTAAACCCGAATACTGCAAGAACCCCTAAACCCTAAACCCCAAACCTTAGTATTGCAAGAACTCCACTCCCAGAGACGGCTTGTGTGGTTCCTCCGCGCGCCGCCTGTTCTCCTCCTCCATGCGCAGGCGCTCCTTGCCCGAATGCGGAGTGTCAAGTGCTTTGAGGGGGTTAGGGTTTAGGGTGTAGGGTTTAGGGTTTGGGGTTTGGGGTTTGGGGTTTAGGGTTTAGGGTTTAAGGCTTCAATATGGGCGAGTTTGCAGTGCCTCTACGTTGTGGAGGGGCACTTCAGGGAGCTTCGGCTTTTGGGACACTCGGGGGGGGAGGTGCCTACTTGTGAAGTCTCTCAGGCTTTGGGTTCCGGGGAGGGCTTCAAGAGCGTGAGGCCGACTCCACCCACAAGAAGAACACAATGACAACGGCAAGTGAAGCAAGATACCAAAAATCATAACAACAAAATTTAACACCAACAGTCCTCATCACCCTAATCAGAACCGCCGTCATAATACGAATCACAAAGGCCTGCCTCTCAAGCAAATTCGGGCGACGCGTTTCAGGGCTGCATCACACGGTCATCACCGGCGAAGCTGGTGCCTCGGACTTCCTCGACCCAAATCCACCTCCCCTAAACCCTAAACCCTGAACCCTAAACCCTAAACCCTAAACCTAAACCCTTCGGCTTCGGCGCTTTGATGATCGCGGCCGCTCGGCTTCTCCATCGCAACACAAAACTTCTGAGGCTCCAAGCGGCAGCCAAGCGCTCTTGCTGGAGGCGCTGCTCCTCTGGCAGTAGATGGAATCTCGTCATATCTCATCCATCCAACTACAGGCCGTGACGTGAAGAGTTTAGGGCCCACTTTTTGAAGAAACAAGATGAACATGTCCGGACTCCGAAGTCTTCTAATCAAAGCCAAGCAGGGGAGGAAAGGAAGCACAAATCCATTTCGGGACGGAAAGCAAAAAGAACTGCGAACCCTACCACAAAGTGGTATGTTTGCCAACACCACTGCAGACCTAAGTCTTGAATCGAATCTGGATGAACCTTCGTGCTTGGCTTCTCAAAGACATAGCAAATTGTAGGCTAGGCGGCAATGATGATAACCAGCAATCTACAAACAACTCCGGATGAAAAAGCTGTCGCTGTCGTTCCAGTCCCGCTACAGTATCCCAAAGCCAGTTGCCAACTATCTGCTGCCTGCAAGGCAACTCAAGAACGCACATACTTCGCCAAACACCGGCGAGAAGGACACTCATGACTCTACCAATATTTTTTTGTTGTTATTATTATTATTAAAATTATTTTTTTTTGTTACTATTCCTATTGCTATTAGTATTATTATTGCCGCCCATCTGCAGCTGTGGCCTCCGGGGTCGGGCCTTGTGGGACACCTCCACCTTGCAGTCATGAGTCAGGGAGAGGAGACGCAGGCGCTAGCGCGCGATCTCACTCTGGTGGCATGCGGCTGCTTGCTTCTCAGAAGAAGGATCTAAATGCTCAACGAAAACAAGAGAGCTCTCTTGCACATCTTGCAAAGAGGTGCACTTTGCCCTTCATTGTACGCAATGGCACAGAGAGCTGTCCAAGAACTTGCGCAGGCCTGAAGCCGAGTAGCCCGGCTTTCCCGGGGGCGGAACCAAGGACCCACCTCACAGGCATGGAGCCCTTGCCTATGTCGCATCCTCTCGAGCACAGTGGAAGCTTTCAGCTCTGACGGCTTTGTCTTTGCGAAAACACACCGGAGCTCAGACCACCACGCTGCGGCTGCACTTGGCCTGACACAGGAGCACGCGCCACCTGGCACACGGTGGAGAGCATTAACGAATAGCGTGAGGGTGAGCAGAGCGAGCAGTAGGCAATAGCCTGTGGATAAAGCGGACACAGCTCTGAGCCGTCGCACCCCTGCAGGTGCGTCAGCAGCACGGTGCAGGCTGTCCTCCAACCTTTCCTGGTGCTTGGGGCAGGGTTTGGTAGAACAGAAGCGGCATGTGAACAAGCTATTGGCTCTCTCCTGCAAGAACCGTTGTCCCAGCATGGCCCATCCCTCCCGCCCCTTCGTTGGAGTGTGGATGGCAAGTTCGGGTGTGCGAGCCTCATAAAGATGTTGAGGGGTTGAGTCGGGCGACCAAGGGCCCAGAGTCCAAAAACTGCCAAAAAGGGCTCGCGCCCCAAGTCCTGGGCGGAGGCGATTCGGCCCAACTTCTCATCCAGACTGACGAGCAAGCTGCAGACTTTTCCCAAGAGCTGCTCCTGGCCTTCGCGGATGGCCACGCGGGTCAAGGGTTTGAGGCTTAGGGTTGCCAAGGCCTGATGGCTCTCCGAATGGAATGTCCTATCCTACATGAAGGTTCCGTCTTAGTGAAGCTTCCGGGGATTTTGGGGTTTTCGGGATCTTCATCGGGACGTGGAGTGCTTCGGAAATAGGCGGCCTTCGGACTTTGAGGGCTCGGGCTTCCGGTCTCTGCATGGAGGGACCCGTTGTTCATGCTGCTCCCAAGACAGAAGGCCCTGTGCTTCCCGGCGCTGTGAGGACTCCGCGACTACACGAAGAAAATCTTCCGCGGTCACCTTCCAGGAAAGGGAAATCAGGTGTGGCACGACCCGCAGAAACCAGTACAAAAAGATGGCGGTGCTCATTGCAGCCTCTGGCTGGGGGGCTGTGGCTCCAGCGTTCTCCTTCCAAGCTCACGACTTGCGGAGATGCAGAGATGGACAAACACAACACCACCAAGACGTGCTTGTGCTTTGGGGATTTAGGTTGGGGCAGCATTCGTGAGACTCGCTCCTGCGACAAGAACTGTGAGAAGTCATCCTGCAAGAAGGCCGGCCATCATTGGAGTGTTGCTGAGCCAGGGAAAAACCAATTCATACCATATCGCTCTTCCCTTTCTAGCCCTTAGTTGCCTGTCGAGCTCACCAAGCTTGGCCATAACGAACGGTGCACATGCAATCCTTCAACCTAGGCAACAGTATGCAACAGTACTATGTACTGAAAGTATCTGAAAGTCACGAGACCATCATGTATGTGGACACCCAAGGCTCAAAGGTCGAACATTTGTTGTCACTCAGTCTTCCGACGACTTGAAGTCTTCATTCCCTTTGCCAGCTCTACAGTGCCCCAGCGACAAGCCGAACAGCATGTTGCTTGTAGCATCTTATAGCTTCGGAGACTCGTGGCATCTTGTAGCTTTGGAACAAACACTCGAAGACGACCTGTTTCAACCATTCAGACTCCGGCCTCCTCGTGTCCGGCCTGCTCCATCACGGCCTGCGTCCCCATCACAGATGCACCAAGATGCACAGATCATCGTATACTAAGAGATAGCAACATCCTATGGTCACTACGGTCCAAAGAGCTAAGCTTTCCGCGCTGGCCTGCGGCAAAGGCAGGGCGACCCGTTCGCACCGCTGACTTGCCAAAACAGCTTTCCATGAGAAGTGACGATTGGCAACTAGGCTGTTGTGCTTTTGGCTGTGCCTTTCTCTTCTTGCACGCGACTTTTGAAGGCTCCGAATACAATTTTGGGATAGATGCGGTCCGCATTTTCCCGATCATCCGGATGCCAAGGCCGCGCACTGTGCTTTCAGCGCACGGTTCTGTCGCAGAGGTATACACTCGGGCATTAAGGCAAATGGCCCGGGACTCTGCACAAGATCTACTGAACCGACCCGCACCTTGGGTCTGCAGGTCCCGGAACGATGCCTCGAGGGCATTTCACAGGTACTGCTGCGCAGTACAGCCGAAGCACGCTAAGGTCGCGAGCTGTCGCGTCCACGCAGAGCTTGTCGTGGCTGAGAGATGAGAACTGAGAGGAGTACTTACTGTGTAAGGTTGTCAGGACCTCTCAGGCAAGCATGCTCCGTGTTCCAGATACAGTTTGGCCTTAAGCCGCGATGCATCTAGAAGTACAAGCACCGAAGCAGTCCAGAGTAATCAATGGCAGTCACCTCATGTTCAGTGCTTGTCACACGCTTGGACTGCCCCTGTGCATACTGAGCATGTGGATCCCAATGCTCGCATGCTGAAGCAAGGGCCCACAAGGACCAGATTGCATTCCCTACACTCGGGCAAAGTCTGTATATCGTTGCACCAGGCGTGCATGCGGCCTGCTCTTTGGCTGCCACCCGCCAATCCCAACATCGCCGTGGAAAGGAGCTGCTCTTTCTTGATCTGAGGATATCTGAGGGCTTCGGGCACGTCAGGGGAAGCGGGCGCCGCAGCTTGAGACCACATGAGCCGTGCGCGTGGCATCAGCTCACTCAAGAGCCTCAGAACGTGCAGCAACTGATCCGGAAGTCTCTATCAAGAAAGCCATGCTGCCAAAGCCATGCTCCTCAAAGACGGAACTCCATGGAATCCCCCCAAAACATCCCACGAGTGGCCATGCACATGAGCCAAGACGGCAACAAAGGCCGGGACTCAGTAGCCGAACTGCGTGTAGAGGCCCCCGAAGGCCCCGGGACCAGGCCTGGCAGTGCCCCCCCCCAGATTTCTTCGGTTCAGGGCCTTTGGGGCACGGAGCCCTGGGCAGTTCTTGGGAGTTTCAGGAGCTTCTTGTTTTTTTTTTAAGTTCTCCTTGCACTTGAAGGTTTCCGGTCGAAGGCGTCTTCGTGCAGCCTGAGTCGGCAGATTAAGTCCGCGAAAAAACTCACATACATGCAAGGCGTCCATCACCAACAGGAAGAAGAATGAAGAACGAAGAGCCAACAGTCAAAAACCGAGAAAACCCGGAATTCATGAAGCAAAAGCGCCAGAAAGCATTCAGAAGCCCTCAGCCGAAACAAAAAACAGACATGCCGCAGCCACGTGGGGCAGAGCACCGAAGAGGTCACTTCATTGCGGCAGCGGATCGAAAACCTGGGACCTGCCAGGTGTTGGGGATTGTTGGGCACCCAAACTCGAGGCTTGCAACCAAACATGGGGGGTGGGGAGCGCTTGGGGTTTTAGAATTTCGGGTTGAGGCGCTTATGATAACTCAGGACTTGGGGGGCGGGGCCGCCCGGGGGGGGGGGGGGGGGGGTGGTTTCAGGGAGGGGGGGCTGAGGGGCCGAAGGTTGAAGATGCTTCTGGGTTTAGGGGCTTAGGAAATTTAGAGCTTGGAGCTAGTGATCTAGCTTCTATGAAAACACCCAAATTATCAAAAACCCTGAAGACCGCGTGCGGAAACTTCCCAACCAAATGACCTCGAAACCTCCTAAAACCCAAACTCGCAAAACAAACACAATCCTACTCAAGTCTCAAGACCTCAATCCTGTTGAACACTGGGGCTCCCTTCCTCCAGCTCCAGCTCGAGAGCCTCGCACGCAAAGCAACAGCAAGGCTTAAGCGTGAGGAGCTTGTCGGTCAAACCAGTACCGGCCAAGACTTTCACACATTGACCCGCACTAAACGGTACAAACTGCCAAACCCGTGCCCTATGCAGCCGATATCCCTGTAACGTGAGCACCCGAAATTATCCGAACGTGTGCAGCAAAGGCACGCAGGTCGTATTGGCCTGGCCCTGGGATCTCGCCTGCTGGACCGGACTGGGATTTAGGGCCTAGGGTTCAGGGTCAGGGTTTAGGGCTTAGGGTTTCCTGGCTTCACGGGTCTGCACATCCCAGGAAGCTGTGCGCCAGGCCGTTTGCGCGGATCCCGCGGTTGGAGGTCCCAAACCTGACATCTGCGACGGGGAGCACGCCCACGTGTCAACATGCTGCAGCGCTGCGAATGCACATGCCTAGATCAAAGCCGATCCCAGCATCCTAACATGCTCCAAGGCGCCCCCATCTCGGTGCAGACTTGGACGCCGGACCTCCGAGCAAAAAAACACCACGACGCTTCAGCTCGCCCAACACGAAGCCCAAAAAATGCTGGGTCCCAAGGCTCTCGGATCCATTGAAATGGCCATAGGTCCCGGGGCCCGGAGTGGAGCTCCTCGGAGGTCCGCAGGGCTCGGAGGATTCGTTGCGGCAGTTTGGGGTACTTGTGGTGGGCCTTTTTTTCCTGGAGCACCGATTTCCATGCTTTCTTGTTCAGTCCTGCTTGCAAGTTGGGTGGCGAAGGAATATCAGGGATGCGACACACAAAGAACAGCTTCAGCTGCCCTGAACTCACCTGAACTATCACACGAAGTATGCGGTTGGAGGCTAAAGATATTGTCGGAAACGTTGACCCCCGAAGGTTCGTCTCGGGCTAACGGGGTGGAGCTGACGGCTTGGGGAGCTCATGGAGCCTCGAGGCCTTCCCGGGGCGCCGGCGCGCGCCGGCAACGATCCACCTGCGCTTTCATGGGCCGCCACTTGAAGGGTGGAAGACGCGAAGCCTCAATTCCCTTCAACCTGGAGCCTCCAAACCCATAAACGACTAAGCCATTTCAAGCCCGCCTGGGCACCATCCCGGCGAGGCGTGCAGGTGTGTTTTGGGAACTGTGGCCTGCAGCTCAAGTGCGGATCTCGGAGGAACATGCTGTCACAGCCTTGACGTGCGTACACACCAGTCGAGCCTTGTGCAGTTGACATTTGGTACATAAGCTCCAGGACCTGCCATCAACATCCGTCCATCATCCATCAATCCCTGCAATGCGTTCCATTGTCCCTGTCCTGGTGTTGCACCTCCGTTTCCAAGCCTTAGACGCACTGCGGCACCGCTTCGCATCTCTGCTACGAACTGCCGGCATCATGTGGGCACCTGCATCTGTTCTGGGAGCCTGGCCCACGTCCGGCTCTCCCAAAAGCAGGGCCCGCCGAGTGCGGACGCTTCTGGGCCAAATTTTGGGGGGGCAAATGTATTTTGCAGGCTTTTGGGAGGCTTGGAAGTTCAAAGCTTCTGAAGTGCCCGTAATGTCGTGATCATAGCGCCTGGGTGGAGAGGGGCGACACATTGAGCATCGCTTGGCAAAGAGGGCCCAAGACTCCCCCGTACCGCACCCATGCTGAGGTTCCAAGCTTCTGAGGAGACCATCAAAGAGATCCCAAACAGGACACGACCGAGTTCAACTCTCCCCTAAACCCTAAACCCTTAAACCGAAACCCTAAACCCTACACCCTAAACCATAACCCTGAACCCTAAACCCTCAAACTCCATAGTCCCTGGACTCAAAGGGGCACAAGTTCGAGGCAGCGGCCGATCCGTAGGACTCGCTGGCCCCATATGCACCGGGGCCCGGCGATGCCATCGCCAGCGCACCCTCGTAAAAGTTGGGTTCAGGGTTTAGGGTTTGGTGTAGGGTTTAGGGTTAAAGGTTTAGGGTTTAGGGTTTACAGTTTAAGGTTTAGGGTTTAGGAGGCACCACCGGTTCCCGATTCAGATACGCGGACCTTGCGACCCACATGCGCCTTGTCTCTCGCGCAGGACCCGAAGCCGAAGCCAGGCTGCCTGAGATCGAGGTTTGATCACAGGAAATCAACCCATGTACAAACATAGAACATCATCACTCAACCTACACATCCTGCAAGACTTTCAATGATCTGCAAGTCGTTTTCCAATTTGTGCCTCTGTGATCGAGCATCGTGCCCACCATACGTGCCAGGTCCGGGTGTCAGTGGCCTCACGCGAGAATGCTCTGTCAGTTGGCTGGTCCCGTGGGATGTTGGGGCACAAACTAATTCTTGGGAAATCGGGATTAAACCATACGCGAAACGCGCGTAGCTATGTCCTGGAGTCCTTTGCAATCTCAACACACACAGGTAAGATTGACGTCCTCATGTTTGCACCGTAGCGCCCCGCGAAGCTCCATTTCGGCGCCTCGGAGCGCAATGCGCATTCTCATGAAGCACTCAAACAGCATCTCCATGACCACGGAAACCAGATTTACCCTGGCTGAGCAGCACATGCTGGTGATCTCTGGCGCACTTGTCATTCGCAAGCTGAGATCTGGGCCTGTTTGTTTTGCGACATGTTAGTGAGGAACACGCCACCATCGTACCCGGCAGTGCTGGGACGACAAAGCGACATGGCTCGCGGGCTCGACATAGGTCACCAAACACAAGTCAACCAGCGATGCGACCAAGTAAAGGAGCAAAACCTCCGTGCCGTGGCTCGATGAAGAAGGTTGCGCATGCTCGAGAATGGCTAGTTGTTGGTGCACGCGTCACTCGTTCCCTCAATCTTTCATGAAAACCCCATATGCAGCTGACAGCAGGAAAACATGTACATCATTTTTCATCACAGTCTTGGACATCCTCCGCACTCCTCCACCTACTACTCTTGTTCCCATGCCCTCCCCTAGACAGTGAATATCTTGCCAAATCTTGCTAAAGTTACGGACACTGAAGATTTGCAGCAAGCTGAACAGTGTGAGGTAGGAAGGCAATTGAGACAGATGATGTGGGGATGCTTCAGGCCAGCGCAGTTGGTGAAGTCTTTGCCCGGTTCACCGTGCCTCACGCACTTGTCGAAACCACAGCCACTTGGCAGGAGCTTCACTGGATCTTTAGCTCCTATCCCGAGGCCACCAAAAGGGTTTTTGCCGAGTCTCGGCTGACTCTGGGGGGATGGCTAATGGTGCCTCGCACTTTACATGAGTCATGACTGTACACCTGGCCTGTACCGGGCTTTGCGCATGTCGCAGCCACGGCCCCAAGCCTCTTTAGGCTCGTAAATGCTCCACCATGCGCTCAAAGGTCGACACCATCTGATGGTCCATGATCATCCCATCCTGCAACCTCATGATGTCCACCACCTCGAAACACATGCTGCGGCCTGTCGGCTGCACATCCATCCATGGCCCGAGATGTGTCCCCTGGAAGCGCTTCATGGTCCAGACCTTGTCGCCATCCGCCGCCATGTCCAAGATACTCACGCGGATGTCCGGGAATGCCCGGAAAAGCATGCGGTGGAGGACCTTGTCTCCGTCCACGTGGTCCTTAAAGCTCTCAGTCTCGCCTTTTCCTGTGGCCAGGACTTTCTCGATGTCGGGGTTCACGAAGTCAGGGGAGAAGAAACGATCACAGGCCTCCACGTCCTGCTGGTTTTGCACCACTTGAACGAACTCCCGAATCCGGGCCTTGTTAGCTTCTTGAATGGTCGACATGACAAAAAGCAGAAGGCAAATCGCACTTGTGTTGCTGGATCAGCTTTTCTGTTTATAATGCTAGGTTCGTGGCATACTGTGGTGCAATCGCTTGAATCATGTCCTTTGTGTCAATGGCTCAGCACGGCGCTTGAGGCTGGAGCTACTGCATTCTCTGAAATTGTTCATGATGCCCTGCACAGGGTCACACAAAGGAAGCGAACCCCTTCAGTGGACAAGTAGTGCTTTTGCTACGGAAGAGCTAGTGATAGCCAAAGCCTGGCCATCTGACCAAAGCCTGGCCATCTCAGCAAAGCCACGGTGTCATACCAGCAGCCGGTTCTTCAATTTTGCAAGGGTGGCCACACGACAAAGTTAGAAAAAGGGGGCAATAAACTTAGTAATTGGCCCACACTACGTTCTTTCGTTCAGTGAATTCACGCGCTTCTTTATAATTCACATCACTCATTCACTTCGTAATATAATCTTTTGTGGAGAGAATAACACTATAATTATAGGGCCCAATATTATACTACTTTAAGGGCCCATAATTAATATTATATTAAGGGGGCATTGTTGGTATAATAATTTATCGCCCCCGGCATTATATTATTGCTGTAAGCCCCGGGCCTTTGCTATCATTACATTCGCCCGGGATGGAAGTAAAAAGGCAAAGAGCACATGGTCGCGAGAAAGGTTGTAATGTGTGAACAACATGAACACTAAACCCCAGTATTATTACAAGCCTTACCGATGATTGGTGGACAGATTCGCGAGGTTGGGCTCCTCACTTCCAACGCACGAAACCCTTGATGATAAAACTAAAACGAGTGACACGGCGGACGTGCAGTAATATCACTACTGTTCACGCGCACTGTTATTCTTTTGTTTTAAGCGGGCGCCCCTTTACCACATCAGCAGCACAGTGGGCCGGTCTATTGCGACGAGGTGAGACGGTCAAACTACTTGGAGGAGCAACACAGCAAACAAAACAACACACCACACCCAAGAGACAGCGAAGCAACAGCAATCGAATCCTACGGTGAAACGGCCCTCTCTCAGAACACGAAGAGGTCGAGGTCGACCAGTAGTGGCAGAATTCGCGCTGTGTTGAAAGAGTGTCACGCGCACTGTTATTCTTTTTTTGTTCCCGCGTTAACGATATTATTACCATTCACGCGGGACAAGAGAACATGATTAGTGCGTGTACTTTTTTCATTTCGTTTACACACGCACGTTTCCTTCATACAATTCACGCGTTTGCTCACTACATTCGTGCACTTATGATTATATTCACTTGCGAGCCCATTTAATATTCTTTTTGCTCGTCCATATTATGCATGTCCATACATGTTTACAATCATAAAAACAATAACAATAAGTTCTGCTTGCCATATACTCACTTGTGCCAGAAAGGTAAACACGCGAGGGGCTGCATCCCGTTACCCTTCGACGAAGGGGGCTTCGAAGCCTTCGAAGCCTTCGAAGCCGAAGGGTCGAAGGGGGGGGGGAGGGGGGGGGGGGGGGGGGGGGGGGGGTGTGAAGGTCTGAAGGCTTCGGGGGCTTCGAAGGTGAGGACGAGGCATCGAGGTGAGGACGAAGGGGGCTTCGAAGGCTTGAAGGTGAAAGACGGGGGCATCTCCAGAGTCTTCTCTGAGTTTCGAAGAATGAGATCCAAAAATGAGATCCAAAAAACAACAAGATTCGGGGGGGGTGGAATTTGAAAGAAGTCCCTTCTCTCACCTTCGAAGGACAAGACATTGAGGGGGTGGAATTTAGAACACTTCTCTTCTACAGGCTTCGAAGGACAAAAAAAAAACTGAAGGGTGGAATTTAGAAAATTCTCTTCTCTTCCACACTCCAAACCCTAATGCTCCAGACGTTTGCAACTCCTCCAAGTGGTTGGGCGCCTTTGACGAGGTGGAGGCGAGCATCATGAGCATCATTGGGTCTCCTTTCCCACCTCCAAACCCTGATGCTCCAGACGTTTGCTGCACCGACTCTCCCAAGTGGTTGTGCGCATTTTCACGAGGAGGCCAGCATCATGAGCATCATTGGGTCTCCTTTCCCGGCCTCCAAACCCTGATGCTCCAGACATTTGCTGCACCAACTCCTAACTTCCAAGTGGTTGGGCACATTTGACGAGGCGGAAGGCTTCAAGCTCGGGAAGTTGGTGGCTCAACGTTTTCTGCTGCGCAGAGTCGTCTGCTGGACATTGCAGAATGAAAGCTTTTGGCAGGCTTGGGCTTTGAACAGCGAGGATACCTACTGTACAGGAACGGTTTGTGCTCCTAGCGAATCAGCTGTTTGCCAAGCACCCTCATCGGGGTTCTAACAATGGTCAGGTTGTGGGGCTGGTGAACGGATGCCACAAGTGCATTCGCGCTTGGACATATTTGAGGCTGTCTCCAATCTTAGTTTTTGCGGCAGTTAACGCGCCGTTGATGGGTCAGACCTGTCTATACAGCATTTTGAATTTGATTTTTCGACCCCAGATTTGGAGTCGCGTAAACTGGCAAACATGTGTACAGTACAGAAACGACTTGGTCTCCAAGGACTTGCTGAAAATCAAGCCCCAAAAGACAATCTTGAAACCAAAACAAGTTGGCCTGATGTGGCCTCAAACCCACACGGTCTTGCTTTGTTGCGACACGTTTGTGGCCTGTTGTGGCCTGACGTGGCCTGAAAACCACACGTTTGTGGCCTGTTGTGGCCTGAAACACACGTTTGTGGCCTGTTGTGGCCTGTGGCCTCAAAAACACACGTTTGTGGCCTGTTGTGGCCTTGTTGTGGCCTCACGGCGTATTTTTCCCCGGAAAAATGCATTGTGGCCATGGGGACTCGGAACCCTATAATACTATTGAAAGGGTCCCCACGCACAGCAGACGTAGGGTAATGAGGCCAGATCCGAAGACCGACCAGAATTTTAATCCAGGTTTTTTCCCAAGTCGCTTATCTTCTAAACTGAACATTGTTACAAGTGTTCAAAGACGACCTGCACTGTTCAAAACGCGGCGCCGAAGAAAGTTGGCAGACATAGAAATCACGTGGGGCCCCATGGCTTCACCACTCCTCCGCTGCCCGTCACTGCATCACTTTCTCTCACTCCGTCGTCCTCGCTTCCTCACTCTTTCTCTCACTCTCACTTTCACTCTCACTTTCACTCTCACTTCACTCACTCTCACTTTCACTCTCACTTTCACTCTCACTCTCACTCTCACTCTTGCTCTCGCTCTCGCTCTCACTCTCATCCTCACTCTCACTCTCACTCTCGCTCTCGCTCTCGCTCTCACTCTTATCCTCACACACTCACAGACACTCTGTCACTCTCACACGCAAGCACTTGCTGCTCCAAAACATACGTCTGTTTGGCTCTGGGAAGACCAGGGTCGATGGTGCTAAATTCAAAATGCTGTATAGACAGGTCTGACCCATCAACGGCGCGTTAACTGCCGCAAAAACTAGATTGGAGACAGCGCCAAAATATGTCCAAGCATGCGCGAATGCACTTGTGGCATCCGTTCACAGCCCCACAACCTGACCATTGTTAGAACCCCGATGAGGGTGCTCGGCAACAGCTGATTCGCCAGGAGCACAAGCCGTTCCTGTACACTGGGTATCCTCGCTGTTCAAAGCCCAAGCCTGCCAAAAGTTTTCATTCTGCAATGTCCAGCAGACGACTCTGCGCAACAGCAGAACATTGAGCCACGTTGGAGTGACAGAGTGTCTGTGAGTGTGAGAGTGAGAGTGAGAGTAAAAGTGAGAGTGAAAGTGAGAGTGAGAGTAAAAGTGAGAGTGAAAGTGAGAGTGAGAGTGAGAGGAGAGAAAGAGTGAAGAAGCGAGGACGACGGAGTACGGATTCCAGCTCGGCACTTGTGCCAATGAGGTCAAGAACAATGCGTGCCAGAGGGGCCTCCACGCATGCGCCATCCCGAAGTGTGGGCAGCATGGCCACGGAGCTTCTGCTTGCCCGAAGCGGAGCAAGGCTCAGTCGGAGTGACTAGGGCCCCAATCAGTCGAGTTTGGTGACCCTGGACCCTTGCATTTTGCAGGTCAGGGACAGCCTGTGCAGGATGCCGTTGAGCAACCTTGCAGCAATCTCAAGCTTTCTTCTGGATCGGATGCAGTTTGGCAACCGACCCCCGGTGCAGCGAATGCCGAAGTGCAATCACTGCCGCGCGACAGTCCGAAGCTTTCTGGTGGATCGGATGCTAGCCGGCAACCGAACCTCCAGGCCCTGCGGATCGCTCCCGCGCCTGAGGGCGGGGCGACCCCAAAGCAATCTTCTTCTAGTCCCAAATCTGCCAGCCTCTTGCATGCCATTGAGACCTTCGATTCACTCCCCGATGTTGCCGTTTCACGCACTCCCCATGCCGTAAGAGAGAAAAGGTTCAGAAGTCCTTCTATTCGGGGATGTACCGCCGAGGCCCCCTTGTCGGCTTGCGATCTTCGGTCGCCCAATTCCCCGAGGCTGTCAAGGTGTTCACCCGGCTGATTGCGGAAGTGTCTCCCACTCACCAGTTCAGCAGCTTTGTTATCCTTGAGGGATCCGAGATGGGAATTCACCGCGACGCCCAAAATGCCTGTCTGCCCAACCTTGTAATCCCCTTGACCCGCTTTGAAGGAGGCGAGCTCGCGGTCGCGGACCCCGAGGGACATGTGGTCTCTCATGGAGGTCAGTCCTTCCGTGCGCGGCTTTGTGATTTGGGACGGGGCCCCATTGCCTTCAATGCTCAAGGGTTGCAGCATGCAGTGATGCCGTTCAAGGGCCGCCGCCTTGTGTTGATTGCTTATTACCTCAAAAATGTTGCATCACTTGACAGGGCCTCTTGTCGTGCCTTGCGCGCTTTGGGCTTCCGACTTCCAGCCAAGGAGCCGCCTCCGCGCACACTGCCTGCAGTTGTCACTGGCTTTCCTGACCTTAGGCTTTCTGGGTGTAGTTCCCCCAGTCCCTCGGGTCACCCCGCCAGCCCTGGCCCCGCACTGCAAGAAGCCGCCGCCTCGGAGGGGCCCCCTGGGCC